AAATCTAAGAACCGAGCAATTCTAGCACTTACGTTTGTGGGAAAGACTAGATTATAAAACAAAACGAACTCTCTTGCTCTCCAGCCACCCCATCCCTGCCTGCCCACTGCACTGTGATTTTGGATTTTCCTGGCAACACAAAAGCTGGGAGACTTATGACAATAAAAAAACAGGTTGATGCCAATGCAAAATGAATATGAGAGTGGTGCATTGGATCGGGAGCAGCACTGGGCTGAAGTACACAAAGGTGCCACCTGCTCCACCATGTCTTTCCTCCCCACGGTGCTTGCGCAAAAGCTGGAATTCATCAGCCTTTAAAAGTTCAACTCTAAACATGCAGGAATAAACGCACACACTGGAATGTATTTTATTGCCCTTCTCTTTTATGGAATGCTGTGGCCTCACTAGTGAAGAAGCGAGGAGCCAAGCAGCAGCTCCTGCGTGCTCACCCAGCTCTTTTCTCCCCTGTTGTGTAACTACCAGAAGAGACAAGGAAGGGGGTGCAGTGCATCCCGTTCAGTACCTGCTTCTGTTCCCTGCCAATACATGATCAGGATTAAATTGGACCCTCCTGGCCAACCGTGAGATCTTGTGCCAAAGAAAATTAAGAGCTGAGCTTGGAAGGCTTGCCCCAAGAAGAAGAACACACACACAGAGAGAGAGAGAGAGAGAGAGAGAGAGAGATTTTCTATTATATAGATTGGGGGGGGGGCAACTCGCAACTCTCCAGAGCTTTGTAACTTCCATCTCCAGAAGTTGGATTGCAACTTCCATCATCACGCATCTTTGGCTATGCTGGCTCAGGCTGATGGGTGTTGTAGGGCAAAACATCAAGAGGGACGCACACTGTCCACCCCAGATTTATAATCAAAGGAGCTGGTCTAGTTACAACTTGAAACAAATAAATCAGCTTTGTTTTTGCTGGTTTACTTTAAGGATTGGTTTTTGTTCAATGTTGTGCACACCTGCACTGGGAATTTTTTTTTTGGAAGGTGGGATATAAATAGAACTAACTAATAAAATCTCACAATTAAGTTTATGGGGTGTGACTGCATTCTTGCATGTAGTTAACTGGGAGTATGTTCTGTTGATGCATTGATCAACTTGTAAATGACCCTGAGCGTTGAGCAAAGATCTTCAACCAGCTGAAGTGCAACTTTTTCCTCTTCTACCTGCCCTTTTGCAAAGAAGAGTTGCCATTTATACTGCTAGCATGAAGTAGGAACCCCAGCTTTCTGCTTGATCTTTTTCCTCACTCCCTGACTTGCTTTGCGTCAAACTGTCCCAAGTAATAGTAAGTTAGTAAATGGAAGCTCTGGGCGAAAAGGGGGTTTCCATCAGTGATTCTGGTGCTCTAGCATATGACATCATTGTTCCTTTTCTGAAAAAGCCCCCAGTATTCTACTCCCTGAAATTCCCCCTCCACTCAGAAACTGTGCAGTTATTCCCACAGACACGTAGCGCCAGAAGCGCTGCCCCAGGACTCAGCACCCTTTGGTGAAATTATGTAAGGCAAAACCCAAGAAGTGCTTCATTAGCGTGTGGAATTGCGAACTGCAATTGCGATTCTTTCACAAAATGCATTTGCCTGGCCAGCGAGTACATGGCAGCCAAGAGGGTCAGGCCTCAGCAAAGCAATGCAGAGGATGGAAATCAGAATTATTTATCGTGCAACAGTGAGAGGGAGAGAGATGGAAACAAGGGACAGAGTTGCATCATGATCAGGTTGGCTAAGATTGCCTGATGAGGAGACACCTCAGCATGTCTTAGTCTGCAGGGGAGGTTGACACTCTTGCGGGGAAAGCCTTCCTGGAGCTCGGTGCGTTGTCCGGGGAGGAAGGCAGAAGGACCCACAACAGAGCAAGACACGCTTCCTCCAGAGCAGACAGCCTGCAGGCGTGGTGTTTCAGCAGTACCATTGCAGGTGGCCAGGATGGCAGGTTTTAATCTTGTAAGCCATCCTGAGATGCGATAGTGAAGGACAGCATATAAAGGTTTTAAATAAATAAAATACTACGCGTCTCAGCTTAGCAAGGTGCACGTGATCCAAAGGGCCAATTCCTTTCATTTTGTCCTATAAAGTTGCTGTCTCTGGTCTGCGTTGTCACTTGAAGCAGTTTAAGCTCAAACATACAGAGCCTTCTGGACAGCAACCTGGCTGCCCTCCCTTCTTCCTGAGTCTTATACTCACCTGGTGTGCCTTACCTGTGAAATACAAACTGATAGTTTATCCTGAGAACATACTAATAGCAAGCCATTGTAAACAACCCAGAGCGCTTTGACTCTTGGGCAGTACAGAATGAAATACAGAATGAAATAACAATAATAAACCCCCTCCAACTGACAAAATCCATCCACTGGGGCTGAGACTAGAAGGTGCGGTGGACGCAGAGTGCCACTAAACCAGGGTCCCTCATTCTCCCTTCTCTCCTCCATCTTTCCTAATGACAGCACAGGATGTCGTCATGCTGCACGGGTCCCCACTGATGCCGCCAATGAAATGGAGCAGTAGGAGGAAGTCACAGAGTACCAGCATTGTGCAAAACTTGCCAGGAGAAGGAAGCCAGACACGGGGCTGTCATTGTCACGGGCAGCCTCATGAATGCCAAAATGCCTAATGCCTTCCAGATGGTAGAATTAGAGTTCCCATCCTCCTTAGCGCATTGGAAAAGCCTGAACCAGTTCCTCACCAAATCATGCCACTCAGCTGGAGAAAGCCAATCACAGTTGGTTGACTCCAAGAGGCTTTTACAGTCTTCTAGTCCGTCTTTCAGGTGCGGAAGAGAGACTCCAACACACCCCTGCCTGCATCAAAGTTGATTCAGGCAGAGTCAGCTATGGCAGACCTGTTTGGAAGGAGGTCCTGGGCAGCTCGCCTTCGATTAGCTTTCCCTAGCCTGGTTCCCTCCAGGTGTGTTGGACATCACTCAGATCAGGCCAGGCCGGCATGGCCAGTGGTCAGGAATACTGGGAGTTGCCATCCAACATGTTTGGAGGGGAACAGGCTGGGGAAGGCTGCAGAGCGTTGCTGCTGACTCCTGCGGATAAAGCTGTTCCCTGGCTGTGCAGGAGGCCATCGGGGTTGTTTTGGAACCTGCCTGGGACCAGCATGCAAAAGACTTTTCCCTCTGTGGGTTCATGCCTCATTGGCTTCCCAGGTGTGTGTCATTCTTCATTTTACGCAGGTGGATGGACTGGCTGGGCAATGAAATGTAGAGGGTGAAGGAAGGCCGGTGTCAGGAAATGAGCTTGGCTCAGTTGCAGCAACAGAAAGCGGGGAAACGCTTGTTGAGGGGATCTGTCCTTATGCACACACAGGAAGTTTCAGCTAACAGTTTGCAAACAAGAAAACAGCTTTGAAGAGCTTGGTTTGTTCACCCAGGGATGGGAAATATTTTCCACTCTGGAGCCTTACTTTGGTTTAGCGCGCTCTCTCTGTCTCTGTCTCTCTCTCTCTCTCTCTCTGTGCCTTCCACAGTCCCGCTCCATCCTACAGAGCAGCAGATCCCATGGGTTTTGTGTCATTCATATAATGCACTTGCACCCTGACCATTTTTCTCCACCAAGGAACCCCAAGTGGCTGACACGGTCCTCCTCCCCCTCCCCATTTTATCCTCACAACAACCCTGTGAGGTAGGTTGGGCTGAAAGTCAGAGACTGGCCCAAAGTCACCCATTAGGCTTCATGGGGGGCAGAATCAGAACCTGAAGCCAGCTCTCCCCAGTCCTGGTCCATCTTTCTATCCGCTGCACCCCTCTAATATTGTTATTTGATTTAGTGTTCAATATTGCGTTTTTAATGTTATATATAGTTTTGTATATGGTTTTCTTGTTTGTAACCCACCCAGGGAACCAGGTGGATAATGGGGCATGTGCATAAATATCCAAACACAGCCGTCAGCATCTTTCTCTCTCTTGGAATATGCATATGCATATACAAGCAGCTGATCCTCCAAGGTGCCTGGCAGAAATGCCCAGTCCCGAACTCATGCACAAAGTGAGACCGCAAGGAGCTTCATGCTGGCAGCCACTGTGGCCTAGTGGTGAGAGTGTGGCTTGGGACTCCGATCCAGGTCTCAGGTCCCAGCCATGAAGCTCACTGGGTGTCTTTGGGTCAGTCACCCACCCTCACTAACCTGCCTCGCAGGGTAGTTGTGTGAGTAAAACTGGACCAGGGGAGGGCCACATAACCGCAGGAAGGAAAAGGGTCGGATCGAAATGCAAAAAAGCTGACCAAATGTCTCTCCAGCATTCTGCTTCTGGAAGTGGTCAGCCAGAAGCCTGTGGGAAGCCACTGGCCATGCTCGTTAGGAATGATGGGACCTGTAATCCTACACATCTGTGGTATCCTTGAGAAGGGAAGGCAGCCCGGATTGAGCCGAGGATGGAGGCAAGACACCTCCGGCTGAAGACGATGCAAGGAGGGGTCTTGGTGGACACGGACCTGCTCAGGTGGCTACAGCACAAGATGCTCAGGGAATCCCTCTCTTGATCCCGCTGCTGCTTTTGGGGGCTTTTGAGTACCAAGGCAGGGTGCATTCATAGCCCTGACAGAGAAAGGGGGGAATAGGGTGGCGGTAGGGAGTGTTACAGAATGGGGTGCCAAGAGAGCATTTTCATACGGGTAAAGCACAGGGCACAAAGCTCATGGCCCAGAAATTCATCTGAGGGAGGCCATCTCAGCGGTTACTGGCCTAGTAACCCACTTCAGCATAAAGGCACACAGGCGAATGAGCGTTAAAAAAGCCACCAGGTTCGCATCACCCTTTCCTTCAGTACCGGTGCTTTCTTAGCCTCTTCCTTCTCAATCATTTTCTGGGAGAAGCATAGCAAAATGGCACAAAAGAGACCCACGAAGCCCTCCGGCTTCGATAACAGCGATCCGTGGAGAAAATCAGCGCTTGGGTGGTTCTCCCGAGCTGGGTTAGGCCTGTTTGCCTGCGATAACGTGGACCTCGCTGACCCCTGCTTCGTATGTTTCCCCAGGCGAGCGTGTGGGGAATGGCCGCGCTCCACGTGGCACTGCTGTTTCCACTGCTGCTTGCCCTGTTCCACAACGTGGTGGAGGGACAACGCGATCCAGAAGTGTTCTGTGGAGGTCAGTGGCCGTGTTGGGTGTTTCCGCCATGCTCGGTTGCGTGGTGCATCACAAGTGTTCCAGTTCCGGGGAAAGCACTGCTAAGCTGACCTCACACCCTCGCCCCTCGCTCTGCCAGTGTCATAGTGGCAAACTATGCTCAGGGAGAGGCATGCTTTGCTTGATTCCCACACTGATCCAGTAACATAATGGGGAACCTGCCAGGTTGCTGACCGGGACGGAGCATTATGTTCACATGACTCCAGTCCTCCGACAGCTTCACTGGCTTCCCATTGAAGTCCGGGCCCAATTCAAGGTGTTGGTTATGACCTATAAAGCCCTAAACGGCTTGGGACCTGGTTACCTGAAGGAGCACTTACATCCATATATGCCCGACCGCCCCTTGAGATCTGCGGGAGAGGCCCTTCTCCGGGAACCCTCTGTGAAAGAAATTAGGAGGGTAGGTACTCGGAGGAGGGCTTTCTCTGCGGTGGCGCCCAATCTATGGAATGCACTCCCCAGAGAGGTCCGCCTGGCGCCGTTGTTATTTGTTTTTCGGCGCCAGGCGAAGACCTTTTTATTTAAACGTCATTTTAATTGTTAACAATATTTACTTATTTATCTGGCCAGGGCGACTTCTTTTCTTTTCTTTTCTTTTCTTTTCTTTTCTTTTAAACTTCTTTTATATCGTTTATATTTTTTATTTATTTTATATTATTAATTTTATATTGTTATTTTTATATTGTATTGTATTTTATTGTGTTGTAAGCCACCCCGAGGGTTCGGCAAGGGGCGGCATAGAAATGTTCTAATAATAATAACAACAACAACAACAACAACAACAACAACAACCTTCTTTATGCATACGTGTATGCATAGCATAGAAAAGTCCTACAAAGTCCCATATGACTAGCCAGGGAATGCTAGGAGAAGTAGGAGGGGGTCTTGCTCCAGATGCACATACGATTCGGATATAATCTGGCTATTTTCTACACTGCTCCAGTAAGGTATTGGCAGGTCCCATTTAGGATATATCATGCAGTCATTTCCCACAGTACTGTATCATAAGCAATTACAGCAGGATCTCCCGTTACACACATGGACATCATGGAGAGCCACGTATCACCTCTGTCTTTGCACTGGCTGCCAATGCATTTCCAGACGCAGTCCAAGGTGTTAGTGGCTGCCTTGAAAGCCCTTCATGCAGCTTCCAGGAGTGCTTTTGCCCAGACCTTCCGCCCCACCAGCTGAGCTCCTCTGTGGATCATCTTCTGTGGGCTGCTTCTCTAGGATTAATGCCAGCTGCCCAAAGGACTTTTTCAGTCATTGCCCCAAGTATGGTGTGGAATGGTCTGCCAGAAGAGGTGCATCTGATTTCTCAAATTCCCACCTTTAGGAGGGAGTTAAAGATGCGTGTCTTCCAACAGGCCTTCCCAGGTTGGTTCTCATGTCAGTTTTATGTAATATGTTGTCTTAGTCAGTATTATCCACTGTTGGCCTTAATTTCTTGTAAACCACCCAGAGCCTATGGGAATAGGGCAGTAGATCGATATTAAGATACATACATGAATAAAAATGCAGTCTGGGATGCAGCTACGGGCCGCTATGGCTGGCAGTGCATGTCTGAGCACTCCCTGACTTTTCTAGGAAGCAAAAACCTTCCTGCACATAGAAAGCCAGTAAGTCAAGGAGGGGCCACCTGGAGGGAGGGGAAACTTGCACCCGCCCCCTGCAGTCTGTAGTCTTTCCAGAGCACCTGACCATGTGATTCGTACTTGAACTCTGCTCATAGGGCTCATTTGCATGACCATCTGTGTTCTCCATAGTGACAGGAAAAGCTCAGTCAGTTATCAGCTTTACAAACGGGAAGCCACCCTGGGTGATTTTATTTGCACGCAGCTAAGATGCACAACTGCTCCTTACCTTGGCAAGGGAAGACGCTCCACTGAGCAGGTGGGGATTTACTGTTGAGGAAATGTATAGGATTTAAGTCAAGTAAGAGGAAGAGTTTCCCTCTTGAAAAGGATTACAATTTTGAAGAGGAAGGTAGAATCGATGCCTCTCTTATAACCTCAATAGTGTGCCTACCTGCCGATATCCACAGCACTGTAGGACTCGCTCTATTGGCCAAAATGGTTCGTTCTGAATGACCTAATAGCCGCGTGCAGCGGTGCAATCCATCCAGGATCACCTGTGTCACCCTCTCGTCCTTCCCAGCAATTCCACCTGGCTGCAAACAACAGCGCTCTGTCATCTGTTGACAGTTGCACGCACGAGGAAGGAAAACTCTCCATCTGTGGTCCTCTAGCCAAGAGACAAGTCGCTGCGTCTTTTAACAGATGGCACAATGAGCTATAAGAAAGTACATTCCCCCCGAGACAGATAACCTGACACGAAATAGTTTCAGCAACATATTGAAATAAAGCCTCCCTGATGAATGCCGGTGGCTGCAGAATCAGCCGCTCTTCAGTCCCTTGACAAAAGTCTTGCTTGGGTGATGCAAGCACAGCAGTTTTGAGAGACAGACACCCGTGTGTTTCCTGAACAGTAGCAGAAGGAAATAGGGTGGCAAATGATGTGATGCACACATGTGCATTGATTTAAGGAGACTGAACATTGGAGCATCTGTGCCTCTCCTGGACAAAACAAACACAAAGAGAGAGAGAGAGAGAGAGAGAGAGAGAGAGAGAGAGAGAGAGAGATCTGTTTAAGAAACATGAGCATTTGGTTAATTACTCTGATTCTGCTCTGGATCTGTATTCCTGGAGAAAGTTCAGTGTTGAGCTATTTCACTTCTGCGGTCTGCCTGACCCCTCTCTGCTCACTGATTTGCTTCCAACAAATAGGGAGGCGTTAAATCATTTTACTGGGTGGGGTAGTGTGGAGAAAGGTGTTTTTGATAAGGACATTGGCTAGTTCTTTTACATTATGTAAGCTCCTTCTATCTGCATTTCAAAAAGAGCACACATTGGCTTGTATTTCTCAAAAGTCTCTACTTCCATTTCTTTCAGAAAGAGTTCCAATTGTTCCCAAGACTGCCCAAATACGCACTCGCTCGAGTCCCTTCCCCTCCCCAGGCAGCTCAGGATGGCAGCTTGGTGCTGCCAGGTGCGGTGGGCACGATTGCGACTGCACTGGGGGTATCTCACTACCCAGCACTGCTCAGAGAGTCCTGACTGGGGTGAGACCCAGAGAAGTGGGCTGTAACACAGCACTCTGTTCTAGCTCATGTCCTCAAGGCCCCGGGTCACTTCAGGACCTTGGACACCACACTCCAGGGAGCCTGCAATACTGTATATACCAGCATATAAGATGACCCTTGAAACTGGAAATAGCAAGGCAAGGGGGGGGGGAGGTCACCTTATACACCAGGGAATTTTTTTTTCATCATATTATATTCATCATTTTTTAAAAGGATAGATAATAAAGGCAATTGTATTTATAAGCTCTGGGGCCTGTAAGTCATACTGCTTAATTAGGATCCATTTGCTGGGGATGCATTTTGCCGCGTTGATCATTTATGGATTGTGTTTGATGAGTCTTGTGATTATTTCAATTAAGGTGCAGTCCTAGACAGCAAAAAGTTTTCAGCTGTCTGCATGTTCCAGTCGATTATGATAGGCCAGCTGGGGGATTCTGGGAACTGAAGGATGTCTTTTGTCAAACATGCATAAGATCACATCTTTAGGAACATTCCATCTTTCCTCCCTAGATATAAAAATTATTCAAATTACCCAAGGTTGGGTTGACTAGAAGTTGTAAATTAGGAGTCTGAAGGTCTCTGGGTCAATTTCTTCATTGAATGGCCTGCCCATTATCTATGCAACATAACGGTGTTTCTTTTCTTAAGCAAAGAACATTCATACTCATCTAACAAATAGAACATATTATTGAGAATTGAAACAGTGTTTCTGGTTCAGTGAAATGGAAGAATGCTCTTCACAGTCAATGAAATTTAATGCCATGTTTTCGTACCACTTAGGCCCTTCTCTATAGCATAATGGTTAATCTTATGCCAGACACAAGTCATTTTAATCTGTCAGCATTTCAGATGACTTGGGACTGACCATAGTTATTAAAAGCTTTATATACTTTAGACCAGGCAGATTTTTGTCTTGTGATAAATAGAGGGTCCCCATTCAGTGTAATCTTATTGTTAACAGCCCTGCTTTGCATGTCAAGATATCGGTATAATCAGCTTGGCTATCCAATTGATTTAATGACAAGCACTGCTTCTAGCAATTGATCTAATGTTTTCATTAGGCTAAAAAAAAATAAATCCAACAAGATCATTCTGCACTGGATAACGGCAGAAGTGCTCCTTCCCGTCCATAGGACACATGAAATGCAGAAACATGGCATGAAGCAAAAGCATTCAATGGCATTTTGCCTCCGGTTGATTCTTCTGCCATGGAATGAATGAGTGAATATCCATTGTGGGAGACCTGAATGTTGCCCAGAATTCGGCGGCATGTTCTAGGGACTCTGTCTCAGGGCACATGAGGCGGCTGTCTTCATGGAGGGGGCCTCCAGGTGTTGATCATGGTGACCAGGTCAGAAAAAGCCCTCCGACAGATCGTGCAAATGTGATTGTGAGCCATGCACAGGTCAGCGTCCACAGGTGAAAAGCGTGTGCTGTGCTTTCCCACTGACGCAGGGGCTCGCAAGGTTTTTGTCTCCACTGGGGTGCGGGACCTTTTTGCCCTGAGGGCCACGCTGGGAGTCGGCTGTGATGGGGTGGTGCTCAGAGCGCAGAGATGTGAGTGCACGCACACGCATGCACACGTGTACACGTGTTCCCATGCAGTGCTCTCTCTCCCTCTGTTTCTCTCACACACACACACACACCCCAGCGACCTTAGTTTTCAATCCACCTGGTCATGTAGCCTCCTAGCCTTTGCCTCCCTCTAGTCCACGGATTCTTGGTTTCTTATATCCACATGTTCTTATTTATTTCATTTCTATACTGCCCACAGTTGAAGCTCCCAGGGTGGTTTTAGTGGGTGGAAACAGGAAAGTAT